ATTTTGCTCATTTGTGGTTTCTTAAGGTGAAAACTTAGACCAAGACCTGTCTCTTCTTTTTTTTTTAATATTTGTTTGTTTGTTCGTTTATTTACTTATTTTTGACTCGAGCCAGGTCTTTAGTTGCCACACGCGGACTTCTTCGTTGTGGCATGTGGACTCTTAGTTGCGGCATGTAAATCTTTAGTTGCGGCATGCGGGATCTAGTTCCCCAACCGGGGATCGAACCCGGGCCCCCTGCATTGGGAACTGCACCCCCAGGGAAGTCCGAGACCTGTCTCTTCTAATAAAGTTTTTAGTGTTATAAATTTTCCTCTAAGTACTGTTTTGGATGAACTGCACACATTTTTATGATTCATTTTAATTTCTATACAGTTCAAAATACTTTCTATCACTCCTTCCTCTCTGACCCTTGGATTACTTAGAAGTATGTTAATTTCCAAGCATTTAGAAAGTTTCCTGTTGCTTTTTGGTTACTGATTTCTAGTTTGACTTTTCAGGCCTTTGAAATGTGCTGAGGCTTGTGCTCTGGCCCAGGATGTGGTCATTCTGGGTGGATATTCCATAGGTGCCTGGAAGCATGTTATACCTGTCACCTAGATCCTGCTGGTTGATGGCGTTTTCCTTTCCTTCTGGATCCTTGCAGATTGCAGATTTTCTTCTGGGCCTTGATGAGTGAGCAAGGAGTATGAGGCCAGTGGTGGTCAGTTGGTCTGCTCCCCCAGTTCGTCAGGCTTTACTCCATGTGTGGGAGCCCTGTTGTTGGCTGTGTGGACCGTTAGAATTGTGGGATCTTGGCAAGGGACCCTCTCATCAGTGGGTGTGCTCCTCTCTGTCCTGGGCTGTGTTCTTTTCTCTGAAGGCTACCTTGTCTGGTATCAGTACAGGCACTCCTGCTCTCATTTGATGGGTGCTTACGTGGTATGTCTTTTGCTACGAACCTGCCTTTATCCTGTTTGGATAAGAATTCCTTGTGCATGCTGTAGAGTTTGGGTCACGTGTCCTTATTCATCCTGTCAATCTCTGTCTTTCACTTGTCGTGTTTAGACCATTTGTGCTTAAAGTATTACTGATTCATTTGGGTTTGTCCCACATTTTGTTTTTTCCCTGTGTTTTTCGTTCCTCTTCTTCCTATTCCCACTTTCTGTGGCGTATGTGAGCATTACAGTATCCCGTGTTTATATGTTGGCTGTGTTGTTGACGGTCTCCGTGTATCTGCTTGGGGGGCTCGAGGGATTACATTACACACTTGGTGTGCACAGTCTACTTGGAACTCAGGCGGAATGTAAAAAGCTCACACCCTCTCGGTCCCTTCACCCTCCCTTTTCATGGGCAGTTGTCTTAGGTTTTGCCTTTGCAGACGTTGAAGACGCCTTACGCCACGTTACAGCTTTACAGATTTCAGAGAACTCGGGGTGTAGGTGGGGGTGGGAGGGGGTGAGATAGCCTCTTGTGCTCGCCCACGTGTCTGTCATTTCTGTCGCTTTCATTCCTCACGTTCCACCCTTCTGGCTCATTTCCCTCTGTCTGAAGAACAGCTTTTTAGATCAGGTCTATTGGATGTGTATTCTCTTAGTTTTCCTTCATCTGATTATTCTTTATTTCAGTATTCCTCAAGGCTATTTTTGCTGGGTATGAAGTTCTGGCTTTGTTGGTCTTTTCACTCAGTACCTCAAAAATAGGCCATTTCCCCCTTTTTTAAAAGAAAAAAAAAGGAAATATTTACTTATTTGACTGCGCCAGGTCTTAGTTGCAGCATGAGGGATCTTTGGTTGCGGCATGCGGGATCTAGTTCCCTGACCAGGGATCGAACCCGGGCCCCCTGCATCAGGAGCACAGAGTCTTAGCCACTGGACCACCAGGGAAGGCCCTAGGCCATTTCCTTTTCGTGTCTGTGGTTTCTGACAAGGAACATTTTACTTTTACTGGGGAATGCATCGTTTTCCTCTGGCTATTTTAGGTTTTTCTTTGTCTTCAGTTTTCAGCAGTTTGTGATGTGTCTGGGCATTGACTTCCTTGGGTTTATGTTAACTGTGTGGAGTCTGCCGAACTTGCTGAATCTGTGCGTTTATGTCTTTTGCACAACTTGGAAGTTTTCAGCTATGATTTAAATACCTCTTCAGCACTGCATTCTTTGTCCCCTCCTTCCGGGACCCCTGTGATGTGAATCTCAGACCTTTTGTTACTCTGCCCACCCCACTCCACCTCCGACTCCTTTCCGCTCTCTGTTCAGCTTGGATTATTTCCATTAATCTCTTGTCTGGGTCATTGACTCTTCTGTCATGTCCATTCTGCTGTTGAGCCCATCCAGTGAGCTTTTCATCTTGGCTGTTGTATTCAGGTCTAGAAGTTTCACTGGGTTGATCTTGACTCTTCCATTCCTTTGCTGAGATGTTGTGTTTTCTTGTGTGCTTCGGGAGTGTACGTGGTTGGTGATGGGAGGTTCTCGTAGTAGTTACTTCAAAGCCTGTTAGGTGATTCCAACATCCACCTCTTCTCGGTGGGCGTTTGGTGATTGTCTTTCCCACGTGAGCTGAGATTTCCCCGGTCTTGCGGTGCCAAGTGATTTTGGACTGTATCCTGGACACTTCGAATAGGAGGAGACCCTGGGCCTGGGCCTTCCTTACACCCTGTGGAGAGCGTTGACACACAGGTTCCAGCTGCAGGACGTCTGGTCCCACGCCCTCCGGTTTTCACAGCCTTCCTCTCTGCACAGCTGCCTCCTGTGTGCCCGTGGGGCCGGGCTGGGTGGGGCTGTGTGTCCTCTGCAGGGCTGGCATTGCTGCCTCTGCTGCGCTCTGCCAGAGCGTCCATCCTGGGCCCCTGGGAGACAGCAGGGCGCGGTGCACCTGCTCCTTCTTGCCTGGAGCCCCTCCTTTTGATTGTGAAAGCACCCGGGCATAGGAGAGCATTTGTAAAAGTTGGAGGTACTTGGGAGTCGCAGGGTGGCGTCTCAAGGCGCTGGCCGTTATTTCCCCGTTGCAGGGTGAGAAGTCGGTGTCGGTGGACGGGAAGTGCAGCGATTCAACGCTGCTGAGCAACGTGCTGGAGGAGATGAAGGAAACGCTGGGCAAATGCTGAGCGCGCCGCCCGCCATGGGGAGGGCTCGCGGGGAGGGCGGCCAAGTGCCGGGTTTCTCCTCTGTCGCAAGGACTGGGTGCAGCCGGGAGATAACCCAGTCCACCGTCATCCACTGTGTAGACACTGAGGTTTATGTTGCGTTGATTTATCCTGTCATCTTTTTTACTTTGCCCTCACTGCTCTCTCTGGCGAGAAGCCCCCTTCCACTCCCCAGGCCAGCAGGGACTTCTGTAGCCGGAGCGGACTGTGCACGTGGCCACAGGAGCTGCCCGAGGGTGAGGGTGACCGCCATCCAGGCCGGTTCCTGGTGGGGACCAGACGGGGTGGCGCGTCCCGCTTCTGTCAAGCCATCCAAGTCCCATGAGTCCCCAGATGCCCTGCCCACTGGCAGCTGGGGGGTGAAGAACAGGCTAGCTACTCAGGCGACATTCCTGTTCATCCCTGACGCCAAGGGTCACGTCCTCCCCACAGGACACATGGTGGGAGAGGGTCGTGCAGGCTCTTGTCCATCACATCCTGTTCATCCCACCACCGTGTTCGTGTGTCCGCCGAGCGGGGGGTGCCCAGCGGGGATCCCGGACCTCACTGGGTTCCGTGCCCAGTCAGGTGTTGGGGTGAGTGGTGGAGAGCTGCGACTCTGGCCCCTCTGCTCATCACTGGACTCTCTGCAGGTCTGTGCCTGCACGTGCGGAAGGGCCTAGTCCTGGGCTCCGCAGCCCTGATGGCGAAGCACGTGTGTCCAGGGGCGGCTGGGCCCCTGAAATGCACCTCAGGGGCAGGGAGGGGGGACCCCAGCCCACCCCCGTGAGACGGAACTTTCCTCAGAAATGACAGTCCTCGATGACGTTTTAACTTTTCCTTTTGATGAAAACTGTCACTTTAGCATGTAGAGTAACCTATTACAGAATCCTGTGCAGTGATTCCAGAATCTCGAAATGTATGATGTGTTATATAAGAATTTATTTGCTATCGACATTCCCGTATAAAGGAGAGACATATCACACTGCTGTAATGATTCTGTGTCAAGATGATCCAATAAACTTGCAAAACAGACGTTCACCTGTTGGGTCTCTGGCCCATGACAGTGTATGCCCCCCAGCCAGGGGATTCTGACCCACTGTGCGGGTCAGCACACAGCCCCTGAAATGTTCGTGGTCCGAGGGGGGCTGCAGGGCACCCTCATGGAGGTTGCAGTGTGTGGGGGGAGTCCTTGCCCTCCTGCCATGCACCCCTCGGCCCCTCGGGAGGGGACGTGGTCCTCATGTCATCCAGGACCCTGGGGTCTGGTGGTAACGAGGAGCCACCTGACACCACCACCCCCCACGGGATTCTGAGGCGTCCACCGATCTCCCTCCCTTTACTAGGGAACCCCATTCGTAAGTGGTGTGCGGGGTGAGCAGAAACATTACTAAAATAAAGTTTAAGTTAGGTAAACGCTTGTACACACACGCGCACACACACTCTCATTTCTAATCTTCGAAGTGCCTAGTGAGAAAAGGGCAGGGTTAGGAGTCCAGACACACGTGTACAGACCCCAGGGCCCCAGGAATCAGCAGGAACAGATGCTGGAAGGAAGGCCCTGTTGCTGTTTTGCGGGTTTTTTTGTTTCGTTTTGTTTTTTCTTTTTTTTAATTTTATATTTTATTTTTGGCTGTGTTGGGTCTTTGTTGCTGGGTGCAGGTTTTCTCTAGTTGCGGTGCGCAGGCTTCTCATTGCAGTGGCTTCTCGTTGTGGAGCACAGGCTCTAGGCGCGTGGGCTTCAGTAGTTGTGGCACGCAGGCTCAGTAGTTGTGGTTTGCGGGCTCTAGAGCACAGGCTCAGTAGTTGTGGCACACAGGCTTAGTTGCTCCGTGGCATGTGGGATCTTCCCGGACCAGGGCTCGAACCCGTGTCCCCTGCATTGGCAGGCGGATTCTTAACCGCTGTGCCACCGGGGAAATCCCCTGCTGCTGTTTTAATTCTCAAGGTTTCATATGGCTTCACTGATGCCATGTGTACAGAGGCCTGTGTCAGCAGAGCCCAAATCAACTCCAACCTGAATCCAAAACGTGGGCAGGTGTGGAGCCCCGCACGGAAGCCCCCTCCGGCAGCGGGTGGGGAGAGAGGCCTCAGGTGGCCCCCGGGTGGTCATTGGCCTGGCCCGCCCTGCTCCAGCTCGTGGACCCCGCACAGGTCCCGGGGCGTTGGAGCATGCCTTTGGAGTTTCCCGCTCACCGTTCCCCTGATCTCAACATTCCTGGGCAGGCAGAGGCCAGTGTTCTGTCAGTGAACCCTTGGAAGGAAGGCGCCACGCCAGGCAGGGGACCCCTTAGCTGGGGGAAGGGATCGGCGGCTGACCAGGCTGGGAAGGGCCAGCCCAGGAGCCAGACAACTGCTGGGCTCACCACGGCATCCGCAGGCACAGAGGCACCTCCCGTCTGCTGGATGGATGTTGAGCCCTGGGTCACAGTTTGGGTCTGTCCCCTCATGAGCCATGTTGGGTGTTTTCTCGAAACTAAGAAGCCAAGTGGTGGGCACAGCAGTTCCCGTGCCTGGGCTGAAATGCAGCCGATGTGGTAGGAGCCCCAAGATACACCGATGCTGGCCCTGGCTTTCACCAAACAGCCTCCTTTCGTGTCATCAAAAGAACCAGTTGCCCTGAAGGCTGATTGCCATGCGCGCCTGGGAAGCCCCGCAGCCCTGCCCTGTAGGCCAAGGTCGCACCTCGCCTGGGGCCCCAGCCCGGAGCCCCAACAAGGACCACTTCGGGATGAGAAATGTCAGGGATATTTAATCATTCCTTCAAACAGCTGTGATCCTGCCGCTATATACAAACCCATCTACCTCCCTTCCCGTCCTCCCAGCCCCAGCCCGGCCCAGCCCGGGCTCTGAGGCGGGTGGAGCACCCAGGCAGCAGCAGGCCTGCTCCACAGCGCCAGGCCGAGGCGGTCCAGCGGAGGCCCCGCACCGTGGCGGGGGCGGGTCTGGCTGGCCTGGCCGCCCTCAGTGCTGCATCAGGCACTCGGAGGCGTTTTCCAGAGTCAGGTTGGCCAGGTGCGGGGGCTCCAGACACCTGAAGCTTGGTGATATCAAGCTGCAAGGAGACGTGGGTACCCCAGTCCTTCTTCCCCTCCCACACCTTGCTCTCCCTGGTGGGGTTTGCTGGAGGCCTGGGCCTCTCGTCCCAGCTGGGCATGTGACAGGGCTGCAGACAGACCCTCAAGCTGAACTCGGAGGCCTTGCCTGTTCTCACATCCCTAGGACAGCAGTGGGGTCACGCCCTACACTCCCACGACTAGGGCTGCAAAGGCAGCAATGGGGGGGGTGGCATGGGGTTCTGATCTCTGGCTTAGGCAAAACTTCTGCCCCTGGAGTCCACCCATGTCCCTGCGGCCTCCCCCCACTGGGTCACTCAAAAGGCTGGAGTGGTTCTGTGTGTCCAGGCGAGGGGCAGGAGGAGCTCATGTTTATTCATGGAGTGATGGCATGGGCGGGGTTGCAGAGGTGATGTCCACACGTCCCAGGTGCAGAGAAGGAGCCCTGCCCGGCTGCGCCCACCCCATCCAACACCCCTGCCCTCCCCTACTGACCGGGACAACCCCACGCCACACACCCCCGCTCCAGGAGGACGGGCCTGGCGGGGGGGAGCCTTACCTTGTGTTGGTGTTCTGTCTGAAAGACACAACGGGGCCCCAGTTAGCTGTGAGCTTTGGGGCTGAGGCTGTGCCTGTGGCCCTGAGGTGCCTCCACTGGGGCACGCCTCCACCAGGGGGCGCCCTCCCCAGCTCCGACCACAGCCTGCCACCAGCCTGGGGCAGGGGTAGGACCAGACTCTGGGGACCCCTTAACCGGGATGTGCCCCCTCGTGCCAGCCGAGCTCAGAGACCCTGGGAGGTAGAGGCTGGGCCCCCCACACCGGGGGCAGGTGCTGCCTTCTGTGGCTGCCCCGGCGCATACTCACCCACGAGGACGCACACGCACACTGCCTTTGGGGAGCGGGAACTACTTACTTGCTCCAGTTATTTCTACAACGACAGCAGGACTTTAGTCAGGGCCAAGCGGCCTTGATCGGGGTCTCCTCCCCGAGCCAAGCTGCCCTGACTCACATGTGCTGGAGGAGGCCCTGCACTGCTGCCTCCCACTCTGCTGACGACCTGCGGGGACATGGGGTGTGGAGGGGGCGCGGCCCACATTCATGGGCCAGGTGGGGGGCTTCCATTCCCTGCCCGGGTGATGAGGGGACCCTCCAGGGAGAGCCTCGGACCCCAGGGGCAGGGGCCGCCCGTGTCTGAGCCCTACTCGCAGCTGTAGCCAAAGCAGACGACGTGTGAGTTCGTGCAGTTGGTGCAGGAGATGGTCTCGTACTGGAAGATGCCTGTAACACACCAGAGGCGGCCGCACCCTACCCTCACCCTCAGCCTCTGGGGCCCCGAGCTGCCGCCACTGCCGCCACACCCCATAAGCCGGACAAAGGCTCACTCACCGCAGTGACGCTGACAGTCGATGCGGCCTGTGGGGGGAAGAGAGCACAGCCGGCGCCTTCTTAGCAGCCCTGTCCTGTCTCCCGCTGTCTCCCCCTCCCAGGCTGCCCAAGGCTCAGGGCCTGTCCGTTGGCCACTTAGGTGGGCCCCAGCTGGGATGGGGCAAAGCACGGGGGAGGGCAGCCGCAAGACTCTTGAGGCCTCCAGGGACCCGTTGGGGGGAGGTAGCAGGGATGGGTGGGATTTATCCTTCAAGGCCTCCTGTTGGTGCCCACTGGATGAAAAGGGCCCCCCTCAGGGTGTGGCCCTTCTCCCCCGTTTCTGCCCTTTCTGAGTTCTGACACCTGGCTGCACCAGGCCAGACGGCCTATTCACATTACTCCAGTCTCACCACGACCTGGCCGGGATCCCAGGCCTGGAAGGAGACTGAAATACTCGCGTGGCCCTGGGTCCTCAGGCCCTGGGCAGCAGCACCCTCCCTCCCCCACAGCCCTCGTTTGCTCACTTTCGATGATGGCTTTCTGGATGAGGTGCGCCTGCTCCCGGAAGATAGCTCGCAGCTCGTTGGGAAAATACCCTGATGGCGGGAAGGCAAGGGGTGGGGGGTCACGCACAGTTGGCGGGCGGACCTGAGGTGTCATGGGGCGGGTGGGCTCTGCCTCAGTTCCCCATGCGCGGCGGTCGCCCCCTTACCAGGGAAATACAGCTTCCCCTGGTACAGTTGATCCATCTTCTGGTACACGACGTTCGCCACTTGGTTCAGCTTCTCCCAGGCTGGGGACGTCAGGAGGAGGCGTGTGAGCGGGCCGGGGCCTGACTGGGCCGGGGGTGCTCCCGGGCGGGGCCCCGCACTCACTGATCTCCGCGGGGATGGCCAGGTGCAGCTCCTTCATTGTGTCCTGGCTCCAGTCAGTGAGCAGCGAGCCCGACACGGGGATGTCGCCCACCCACCAGGACTTGAGGTTCACGTGATGGCGGTAGAAGGAGAACTTCTCCGAGAAGTTGCCGTGGCAGTGCAAGCAGCCGCGGGCCAGCGCCGCTGTCAGGGCCAGGCACAGCAGCAGCGCCATGGCCAGCCCCCGCCCGCCGCCGGCCAACCGACGGCGCCTCCCGCGCCACGCCCCTCCGCCGCGCACCAACCAACGGTGTCTCCTGTCACGCCCCTATCCGGGCACCAACCAACGACGCCCTCTCGGGCCCGGGCCGCGCTCCCCCAACCCCGCCCCCGGCGTAGGCCCCGCCCCCGCAACGGACAACTGAGGGCGCCGGTTCCTTTTCCAGGCCCCGCCCACGAGCCGCCGCTCCCGGGGAGGCTCCACCTCTCTGTTGGCCCCGCCTGCGACCTCGCTCCACGCATGCGCCGTAGGCCGGCGCAAGCTCCTCCTTCCAGGCCGGCCTCTATTCAAGGCCCCGCCCCGCTCTACGAGCAAGCTCCACCCGCAGGCCTCCCCGGAAGCCGGGGAGGCCTCGGCCCGGAGCGGAAGTATATCCGGCCGGGGGGCGGGGTGGTCGTGCGCGGAGCTTCTCCGGCCTGGCGGCGAGGCTACGCTGGCTAGCGGCCTGGGGGAGCGGTTCAGCGGCGAGCTTGGCCCGACTCTTCTGGCGGCAGGCGGCAGGTGGGTACTCAGAGAGGCGACCGCGGGCGTTAGGGAGACCGAGCCCCTCAGGAGAGGAGACCGCGGGCGGCGGGGAGACCGGGCCCTTCAGAGGGGTGAACGGTGGCGGCCCTTGATGGAATTAGGGGTTACATGTGTCACTTTGGGGTCACCCCTGGCCGTGTCAGTAACCAGGACCCCACCTCCTGGTGTGGATGGAAAGTCCACAGGATTTTACGGCTCCCAGCACACTGGGACCCCGCCCTCTGAAAGCAGGCTTCTTGGTCCCCAGAACCCCTGAGCAGTGGGAGGTGTTTGCGTGTCAGCACTGCCCACTGGCTGGCTCCACCGCTCCGTCTGTGCACTGGCTGTAGGGCTTGCGTTTGCTTTAAAGGCCCATGTATTTTACAAAATGTCACTGAGGAGGGAAGGGGGTGTGTGATCGGGGTGATTCTCTTTGTGACGGAGAGTCACAAAGCAGAAAATAAATTGCGAGTGATGCTCCCCCCCAGAGAGCCACTCACTGCTCATTTTGGGGTAAGAGTCTTCCAGTCTTTATTCATATGTGCCTTCTGCTCCTTGCATTTTTTTTTTTTTTTTTTACCTTTTATAGAGGCCCAACTGACATGCAGTGAACTGCACACATTCACAGCACACACTTGGATAAATTTTGGTATGTGATGCGCGAGCACTTTTCATGTTTCACCCCCACTGCCTGTCCGCGCTTTCGTGATTTTGGACTTGCTTCTGTTACACGTGGCCCCCGCCTGCGGCTTCTTTGTTCTTCCCTCCCCGCAACATAAAGTTCAGGGGCTTTTATTAGCCCATTTTACAGACTCAGCGTAGAGTGATGCCAAGAATCCTGGCCCTGGCCAGTGTCAGGACAGGACGCTGCAGCCTCCCGAAGCCCTGAGCACCCGTCCACACCTCCCCCCACCCCAAGTTCATGGTAGCCTGTCAGTGTCTGATGTACTGATTATGGAGTGGAGCAAGTGGAAGTCCTGGCTGCCCCAGCCCTGCCTGCACTCTGGGGCGCCCTGTTTCTCCCCTCCCTTCCGGAGGCACCCTTTGTTTGTTCACCTCAAACCTCAACCTTCTCTGATCCAGAGCCTCTCCCCTCCCTGGGGTCCGAATCCAGTGCCCACCTCAGACAGCACCCATCCCATTGCTCCTGTCCTCTGACAGGTGAGTTTTCCCCTTTTAAACTGCCCCGGATCTGGGCTGTCCAGTGCAGCAGCCAGGCTAGTGAGCACCTGAAACGAGGCTGGTCCAAAATGGGATGCGCCATTCGTGTAAGATGTGCACCAGTTTCCGGAGACTCTTGTGTGTTAAGGCGGGGGTGGGGCGGGGAGTGTGTGCAAATTATTTCCTTAATATTTTCTATGTTTGTTAGGTGTTGAGGTGATGTTTTGGTGCTCTTGGGTTAAATAGTATATATTATCAATGTTTAAGTCACTTTTTTCATTTTTTATTTTTCAGTGTGGCTACCAGAAGGTTAAAAATTACATACTGGTGTACATTATATTTCAGTGTGTTCCATGGCATTTATTCTTTTTTTTTTTTAATTTTTGTCTGCGTTGGGTCTTCGTTGCCACATGCGGGCTTTCTCTAGTTGTGGCGAGCGGGGGCTACTCTTTGTTGTGGTGCGCGGGCTTCTCATTGCGGTGGCTTCTCGTTGTGGAGCACGGGCTCTAGGCGCACAGGCTTCGGTAGTTGTGGTGCACGGGCTCAGTAGTTGTGGCTCACAAGCTCTAGAGTGCAGGCTCAGTAGTTGTGGCGCACAGGCTTAGTTGCTCCGCGGCATGTGGGATCTTCCCGGACCAGGGCTCGAACCCGTGTGCCCCTCATTGGCAGGTGGATTCTTAACCACTGCACCACCAGGGAAGCCCCCTGGGTTCACTCTTGGTGTTGTATGCTCTCTGGGTTTGGACAATGTGTACTGACATGTACCCATCATCTTATCACACGGAGTAGTTTTGCTTCCCTAAAAACCCCCTTTGCCCCCCATTCATTTGTCCCTTAGCCCCCACCCCCACTGCCTTCCACAACCACTGGTCCTTTTCTGCTCTGCCCTTTCCACAGCATCACAGAGTTGGAATCGCAGTGTCGTCTTCTCAGACGGGCTTTGTTCACTTGGTGGTGGGTGTTTACGGTTCCTCGTTTCTCTTCGTGGCTTGATAATTTGCTTTTTATTTGGACCTCCCTAAAGGAGAAGAGTAACTCTATCATCTTGAAAATCTGGACCGTGGCGTTCGCACACCAGGTGCCCCAAATAGCTGTGACAAGCTGAGTTCTAAGATCACCTCTGTCTCTCAGCAAAAGCATAAGTGGTTATTTTAGTCCCTGAGGGGGTTCTTGGAAGTGCTGTTTTCAGTTCCAGGACTCTAGATGATCCGTATTCTTAAGAAGGTTAAGCTAGTCTGTTTCATGTGTGATGACACTCCCAAGCCAGCCAGAGTTCATGGAAAAGTCAGCCATTAACCATCATTCCGGGAGCTGCTCTCACATCTCCAGGGCTTCTCGAAATGGAGGTTGAACAGAAATTCCCCAGGCAGCCGGCTTGGAACTCGGGTTTTTACTCTGGGAACTTTTGGACATGCCCCAGCTGGTGAGCCCCGCTCTTGACTTCCTGGAATTGCGAGGTTCAGATTGCTGCAGCAAAAGAGGCGAATCCGACTTCAGAAACCGAGTTCTGGGAAGGAGATGGTCATTCCTGCAGCTCCTGAGTCCCAAATAAGACATCCGGGGCCGGGTCACTCTCTGGGGGGGCCGTGCCGGGCACCGTGGGGTGTGGAGCAGCCTCCCTGACCTCCACCCACTCGGTGCCAGGAGCATCCCCAGTCGTGACAACCACAGATGTCCCCCGTGGCCCCTGGGGGCCGGGTCGCCTCATTCAAGACCCACGGCTGCAGCTGAGCGTGGCAGGAGCTCTTGCCGGCGCCTGGAGAGAGTGCGGTCCTTGGTGGACACCCTCCCCACAGACTGGGTCAGCGCACAGGCAAGTCCAGATCCCGAGGACCCTGATGTTGAGAGGAAGTTTGGGCAGCCAGCGAAGGGGAGCTCGCGGTGGACGGGAGATCGGGCCGTGGTTTCTTGTCCGTTACCCTTTCTGACACTCAGGACTCAGGTCAGTTAAACACGCGGTGACGGCTCTTGCAGCCTCAGACCGGGTCCTCAGAAGGAAGAGGTGTGGCTCCTACACAGACACACCACCCACGACCTCCCCCCGCGTTTCTCTCCTTTCTGTCCCCACCCCCACCCCACCCCCCCGTGACACCGTTCTGTTGAACAGAAAATCGCGTTTGCCCCCATGGGGAACTGAGACTGAGGAAGGAGGTTCGGAGGAGAATCGTGGCGCTGGGCTGTGTGCACCCGACAGCCCCTCTCCTTCTGGGTGGAGTGAAGGCCGTGGACGTGGGGACAGCCGGGTTTAGATCCCAGACCAGCTCTTATCTGCTGTGGGCTCAGGGCTCTCAGAGGCCCCAGGGAGGGACCTTCGTGCCTCTCTCCCGGCTTCTGGTGCGGCCGGCCATCCTGGTCATTCCTTGGCTTGTAGGGCTTGTAGACGCATCACCCGATCTCTGCTTCCATCACATGGCTGTCTCCCGGTGTCTGTGTCCAGATCTCCCTCTTTTTATAAGGACAACAGTCATTGGCCTAGGGCCCACCGTCCTCCAGTGTGACCTCATCTTAAGTTAATTACATATGCAGCGACCCCGCTTCCAGACAGGGTCCCTTCACAGGTTTGGGGGGTTAAGACTTCAGTATGTCTTCTGGGGCCGGGGAATGTGATTTAGCCCATAAAGGGGGGTAGGCAGCGACTGCTGATGGGCCTGGGGTTTCGTTGTGGGGTGATGAGAATGTTCTGGAATCAGATCGTGGTGATGGTTGCATACTCCATGATGTTTCTAAAAGCCGTTGAATTGTATACTTTTAAAGGGTGGAGTTTATAGCTGTGTGAATTATATCTCAATTGGCTTTTTTTTTTTTTTTGCGTTACGCGGGCCTCTCACCGTTGTGGCCTCTCCCACTGCGGAGCACAGGCTCCGGATGCGCAGGCTCAGCGGCCGTGGCTCACGGGCCCAGCCGCTCCGCAGCATGTGGGATCTTCCCGTACCGGGGCACGAACCCGTGTCCCCTACATCGGCAGGCGGACTCTCAACCACTGCGCCACCAGGGAAGCCCTCAATTGGCTTTTGTGTAAAAAAAAAAAAAAGATTATCAGGAGGGCTGGAATATACAGAACATGCCTAAAGCACCTGGCTTTCATGTGTGTCCGGCAGGATGGCGGGCAGCCTCCCCACCCAGGCTGCAGTCGCAGTATTTAAATGTATACATTTAGTTGATGGAAGACAGCTCTGGAGCGCAGCTGTCTTTAACAGGACAGATCCTGGGCCATGAGCATCTTCCAGCCAGACACTTAGCCTTCCAGGCCAGGGACCAGGGCTTACATGTCAACCGAAAACATGCGGGACTTCCAAGCTTGGGGCCTGTCCCCATG